AGGTAGGAGAGCTTCTAGGGATATCGTACTCTCGCAATCATACTTACCTGCTCTAATTTGAACGCGCGCCCAATGACAAACGGCAAAGTCGTCCAAATGGCCACGAGTTTTGTCGGGCAATTTGCCGCGTGCATATCTGAACGGACCAAGGTCTCGCTCCCAGCCGGCCTCTGTGCCCTGTTGCGGTCTATCTAGCTCATTTTTCGATCCTACAACAGCCCATGTGCTACCCCCATGGGTAAGAGATCCATCCCTGTAGGGCATCTTAGAAACCATTTTTATCGTGAACTGTGCCTTTCAATATGAATGTCTTTGAAATATCGCCTTAAAAATTGTGGAAGAAAGTCGGAAAACAGTACACAGCAAAGTAATCTAAAAATTTAGATTTTCAGGAAGCACCACCTAATCTGAAATTGATTCTAGCGACAGATTTCAATTTCCCGTGGCTGATTTCAATCCTCGTATTGCACTTTGCACTTGTTCTGCTGACATTTGCAGCGATTTCCTACAAGTTTTTAGAACAATTAATTAATTCTAGGTCTCACGATGTTCTGGGAAATGCTTCCTCTGGGAACAAATATCAGCATTCATCTTTCTCTGGAATATCCTCAATTGTAATAGAGATTGCACAAAGTTAAGACGAGGGTGGGGTACTGAAAATGAGTCTCACAGCCATCTCTATCAGCCGCTGTATTTAACTATACCAGATTAATCTACCGTCTGTCCGTGGATTTTGAAGAAACTGGTGTCATTCCAGGTTTTACGCTATAATAGTACGCCAATTTTGGTGGCACAGATTCAGCCCAATATTTGTGAAGACAGAAGTTGTTTTCTAGATTTTTTTAGGTTGTTAGGTTTTACAAAAGTATCTGCCGCAATTTTTTTTTTAAAANCCCCAGATTTTTAGAAACTTCTAGGAGTTTCTATTAGAAGTTCCTATAAAATTCGTATGTGAAGACTTTACACACTTGTATGCAGTTCTGGAAACTTTGACGATTGTTCTGGAACTTTCCAGAATAATCAAGAAAAGCCTAAAACTTTGCGAAGTTCCCGGCCGAAACATCCCGTACATCACAGTATTTTCTCTGATATTTCTAGTGATAAATGCGTAGAAGCAAGCTATTTCGTATACTGCTTATTAACCAAACTCATTCCGCAGGATCAGCGAGTTGTTTACGTTTTTCGAAAATTTGTCCAAAAATCGCCTACAGAGGGAGAGCACAGTGACATGATGACTAAGGTACACAATAGGCAGAAGTTGATAGGAGCAAAAAGAGCAGACAGGGCCATCATTTGGGAATGAATTTGGCTTCAAAAAACCGACATAAAACTTACCGCGAGGCCTTTTTATTGGCACATTTTCCTATTGTAAAGGAACGCACTGGCTGTTATATGGTTAGGCAGGCAGGAAGTGCAATGAGTTCGTTGACAAAATTTTCATCGAGGTATCTAGTATGAAACTGCGAACAAGGAAGTACAGTAGGTCGGATAGGTAACCGCTGGAGTACGCTGATGGATGAACAGCGAAATGAAGAGATACAGCCGGTATCGCACAAGACCCACTCACGAGAAGTATGTCCCAACGACGCTGAGCGGCAGCTATTTATCACACTAACTCTTCCTAGTATGCCTTTTAGTCAGCTTGGGNTTTTTATTGGCACATTTTCCTATTGTAAAGGAACGCACTGGCTGTTATATGGTTAGGCAGGCAGGAAGTGCAATGAGTTCGTTGACAAAATTTTCATCGAGGTATCTAGTATGAAACTTCGAATAAGGAAGTACAGTAGGTCGAATAGGTAACCGCTGGAGTACGCTACTGATGGATGAACAGCGAAATGAAAGGATGCAGCCGGTATCGCACAAGACCCACTCACGAGAAGTATGTCCCAACGACGCTGAGCGGCAGTTATTTATCAAACTAACTCTTCCTAGTATGCCTTTTAGTCAGCTTGGGCAAATGAGCTTTTATTGATTGCCTGTTTAGATGAACAAAGGATAAAGGATAAAGTCTCGGGGCGTTGACTAATCCTGACAGAGGGGTGCGCCCACGCTTTCGACTTCCATTCAGAGTCACAGTGGAGTCTTGAATGTGTATGTGGCCTACACAATGACTTGCGGTAGTCCACCGAACGTACAAGTCAGCGTTTTTATCCTCCCAGACAAGTCTGGTACCAATTAACCGGTTCCGGATGGACGGAACGCTTTGGTAACATAGGCGGATATCGATCTGGAATTCGAACCCGTGACCAAAGAATGGATAGTGTGTCAATTACCACTACTCCACCAACACCGTCTACTCAGATGAGAGAGTGAAAATATCAATCTCTTACAATAAGCGGAACTGTTTGGGTCATACGAGTGGACTGAGAAAGAGGAGAAACGAAGCAACTGCAAAACTGGAGGAATTAGTCGTAATGGTCAGCATTATGCGGGCGCTAATTAGGTATTGTCGATGAGCATAGTGAATGCACGTCTTTGACTCTGGGAGTAATATGATCTAGTTCTTCCAGAACCAGCACCTAATTCAGAGCGTCCCATTGGAATGTGCGCTCTCACTCTTGGAATAACAAACTGTTTACAGTCGAATTGATAATCGAGATAATCGAAGCCAGGGACCCTACGTACAAACCAAAAATTAGTCCCGCTTAAGCTCCTTCATTGCTTTTATTTGATATTCGAAGGCACAGTCCACGATAAAATGGTTGCTGAGATTCCCCCATAGGATGGCTTCTAGGCTCCCTCGTATGCCATACCTAGCTAGCGCTACCAGGTCGGAAAACGGACTAGTTAGGGGGTTACAAAGGCTCAAAGATTGGCTCGTGTGTATCCTCGGACGAGTTTCACCGGCATTGTAGAGGCTGCACTGTTCCCAAGGGAACCCATGTAGGAAGTCCAAACAACTTCCTACAAGGATTCCCATGTACCCATGCAAGGAGTCGTGACCCATAGCGACAGTGAAGGCAGTTATACTCTTGTACAGTTCTGGTTTGACGTAGTCAGCTCATTGCGCAATTGCAACAGCCGAAATCTCGTCCGAGTATCCCTTCCATGCTATTTCCGTCAAGGTAATCTTATCCAACCTACTTGAAAAAGCCATATTCCTCCCGGCTTGGCGAATTCTCTCGCTTTCTTCAGTACCGATGAACGATTCCCCACATATACTTCCACTTTTCAAATGAAAAGAGTGTCTCGAAATTATCGTGAACTGCGCCCCAAACACAAAATATGGCTTCACAATTCAGTCGCTCTCAAAGGCTGAATGCACAGCCACCTTTCTTGACATTATTTTCGCGAAAATGCAACAGACTAATGGAAATTTTATATTCTAGTCACAGCTTGCTTTCGCTTCGCAATACAAAAAATCAGCATTCTACAATAACGAGCTCCGAATGCACTCATTCTTGGCCGGTCTATTTCCATTCTCGACTGGTACATTCTTATCACAACGAATGTGAAACAGTTGTTCTTAGACCGCTTATAAAAGCCGAATGATCGCTTTATACGCACGTTGGACTTTCAAGACCCATGTACGTCGCCCAGATACTCTCAACATGGCTTCTCCTCGAAGCATTCACTCCTACTACATTAACTCAGGTATTTTCAAAAAAAAATTATTTAAGTGAATGAATTTTGCTGATAAATTGGCGCTCAAAAAAAGACTCCCCACAGTAAGGAGAACGACGAATGTCAAGAGGTTCCACCAAATCTTCCTTTTAAGATCGAGCAAACAACAGCTTCGAAAAGTGGGATGTCTCAATGTACATACCCAATGCTATTGGCGGAGGTTGTGTAGTGGCGAATGGCCATTCGCCCTTCAAAACACACGCATGGTTCTGGGATCGAGTCCCAGATCGGTACTCACCCCGGCTAATCAATCCTCTAATCCCTCTAGGGTCGGTGGTTAAATGGAAGCAGACCCTTTTGGAAACGGAGTATCGAAATTCTAATTTTAGCCCTGCTCATCCTAGTGAGAACTCTGCCCATTTCAGAGATTTGATCATAAATCTTCTAAAGCTCTAAGCTCGATTTGATCATAAATCTTCTAAAGCTCTAAGCTCTTTTTTCCGCATTTGAGAAAATTTTTGAACAGGGCATTTGTATCTTCAAAAAACAGCTTTCACTTGATCACTCGTTCCCCTCCCCTCCTCCCCCGAGTTCTTAGTTTATGTGAATAGTAACGCCCACTGTGAGAACGCTTCGCCCCATCCCTCCAGTAAGTCTTCTTCGTTCCATTTGTTGACCCATCCTTTACTTTTGCTCATTTTTTCCGATTTTTAACGATTTCAGGTAATATCGAATTTGACAGACAGACAGATAGACGACTAACAAACAAACAGTCAGTCAATCGGACAAACAGACAGATATACATACGTACAGACAGACAGACAGACAGACAGACAGACAGACTCCAGCGCATAATACATATGCTAGCATTGATGATCGATTCATTTACTGAAGGGTCGACAATTCTGGCTTAAAATATTCGACGTCACAATCAATATCATGATACAAAAAAATTTCAGCGACACACGCAAAGGAGAGGCCATCGAAAATCTGATTTCTATGGCGAACCCACAGAAAATGAGGACATTCGAAGTGAACTAGTACCTTCCGGTGGAGTCGACTACATGCAAAAATATGCAGGGCAGTTTGAAGGTAAGAACCGCCACATGTCATCATTAGTTGATGAGGATATCAACCAACCTGTTGTACGAGCCCTCCAAAGTGCCCAAGCTAGGATGCCCTTCGACAAGGGGTTTTACAGACGGAGGTATGCCAGACCCTCTAGAGCTAGGATGGCGCACACCTTTACAAACGCCGACTATTACAACCCAATCAATGGGAGACACTCCAATGAGAATCCAAGAGTATCCTTCACAAGAAACGATCACATTAATAGCCATAACCATTTACAATCATATAGGGACCTGTACCCGCCAAGAGCAGGAGGCTACTATCAGCAAAATGCAGCACCATACTTTCGAAGACTTCAACCGACTATGCCGAATCGTAACATGCTAGGAGCACTGCCTTACTACAATCGGCATTATAGGCAGCCACTTGCAGGTCTCCATCAGAGCATGCCTACCTCAGAGGAGCAGCACACGAGAACTGATGCAGAACCTTCTGAAGGTGCCTTCGGAGAAGTTACGGACTCTAAAGAAGACGAGGAAGAGGACATGCGAAAACATGGCGGACCAAATGCACGAGGATTCCCGAATGGGGACATGCTTGAAGAGCAACCTTATAATAATCTGAAATATGAGAAAAATTCTGAAGTTATGCACCCCTACATGCCGCTTACAGAAGAAGAGAGCATGAAAAATAACGAAGAGGAATCTGAAGAACAGCCTGAAGAAGTTCAGGCTTTCGAAGAGGGCGAGAACGAGAGCATGCGAAAAGGTGCACGACGATATACAGAAGACATTCCGTATTTCAACACGCTGGAAGAAATGTCCCCCCATGGTCTAAATTCTATAAATCTACGTTCTGATGTAGTCTCGGAAGAAAAACAGGACTCTAAAGAAGATGAGAACACGAATGAAGAAGTATTTTTGTTTTCGAATATGGCAGATGAATTGCATCATTACAAAGGAGATCATGGAATGACCTCTCAAGCTGACCAGCAGAACACCAAGACCATGGGAGACGAAAAAGCTTCCTTGGAGGGTGCGAAGACTGCTCAAGCTGACCAGCACAACAGCAAGACCACGGAAGGCGAAGATTCCTCGAAGAATGCGACGAACTCTCAAGCTGATCAGCAGAATACCAAGACCGCTGGAGATGAAGCAGCTTCCTTAGCGAATGTGAAGACTTTCCAAGCTGACCAGCAGAACACTAAGACCACGGAAGACAGAACAGCTTCCTTAGAGAGTACGAACACTTCCCAAACTGACCAGCAAAATACCAAGACCACGGGAGACGAAACAGCTTCCTTGGAGAGTACGACTCCATCGATAGCCGACAGTTCAACAGCTGAGGCGACCCCATCCGAAGTTATTCAGCCTGAGACAACCACTACAGAAGTCAAGCACATCCAGAACGAAACAGAGAGCACAACTACAACGAAGAACTCCCGTTCAACGGCTCAAACAACACCTAGTAGCCACGAGAAGACAAAAAATATTGAATTGACATCTACCCAGAACGGAACAGATTTTCTAAATGATGTAAGAGGACTTGAAGATAGGAGCAATGCTACAGTATCTGTGGAATAGCTCATACACTAAATCACCAAGAACGTAAGGCAAAAACTGTTGCTTTAGGTACATTAGCAGTTGTTTTGCCTTGTTCATCATTCAAAAATGGGTATTAAAATACACCCTTCCACTTGATCACTTTTTCATCAGAAACCTCTCGATTTTGTTTGTGACTACTTTCCCAAACAATAAATACATTGAGCAAACATGTTTGTTTCAAAGTAAAACAATTTACTCCTTCCCTATCATCCATCCTCCACCGCAGTTTTCATCGAGGTACCACCTGGGATTCCAAGCCAAGGTATCACCCGGGAATCGCTCGGTACATATGCCTCAGTCCTTGAAAAAAAGCTCTCATAGAAGCCCACATAGCTTCACATACGCAGGCATTTTACCAGGAAATAACTTACCAGTCGTGGGAGGGTCAATTCTAGGTCACCCCTGCCACTCAGACCAGGTATTCGGTCAATTCTTCCATTTCGACGCAAACCTTTTCATCGCCAGATCTTCAAATAAAAAAAGGAAAAGAAACAATGACTGGGTGGTAGCAGGGGAGGGGGGTGGTTACTGTATCACACGTTCCCGGGACGTTCAGTTCTGACGTCTCCTGCGGTCTGGGGCAGCAAGTAGAGTAGTAAAGAAATTAAACATAAGCTGGATAAGACCAAAGATAAAAAATTTAAAGTTTGAAATCACTCAGAAACGTTGCAAAACATGGATTCCAGATGGAAACTTCAGCAACTGCAGTCATTACCCTTGAATAATGATTTGAAAAGAAAACACAGCATTGGTCCTGAAACGAAATGGTCGTTTCAGGACTGTGAGCAAAGTATGTCTAGATCAGTGGCCGATTAATACAGCAAGAATGAAATAATTACCTTACTCTAAATGGTGTTAGTCAATATTTGAAAACAAACTGTTAAATAGGTGTAGATAAGAATTACCTGGTTGGGCTCTCACAGGGTAATCGAACTTGCCTTCTTGCTCGCGAGCGAGTCATGTAGCCAGTGTGGGGTACTGCGGTGCTCGTGCGTGTCGAGTAGTCATCTTCTAGTGAATCTAAATGAGGACATTACTGGTGCCCTTTGATATATGATTATCTTACTAGACTCATAAAATGTGAATGTCTGCCAAAGGGAAGACCTATTGAACATACATAGAAGTAAACGGACCACAGAAAATAGCCTTATTTGAGGGCACGATTTAGGTGAAAAATGGCCTCCGAGAGTTTCAACTAGGATGGATTTGTGGTCCCAATGCATGGCACGAAGAGTGTCCCGAAAAACGAGGATTAGATAGAGAGCAATAGGATCTCAAAGACCGACTTGATCGACGTCCACATCCGAAGGCGGACGTGTTTTAACGACGTTGTAGAGGCCGCATGATTCGCAATGGAGCACATTTGTTGAAGATTTGAACAACTTTCCGTTATCCATGACGGCAAAGGAGGCGATTTTTGGCACTATTCTTTCTAACATCTCATCATAATACTTCATCATCGCCCGCTTCAACCGTTATAATTCCGCACAGACCCCCAATAGACGTTGTATTTTTGAAGTCTCGCAGTTTTTCTAGCTTTCTTTGCTACCGATGCCCTGTTACCAGAAAATATTTTTGCTTCCTCACTCAGAAAGGATATTCAAAAGTTACTGCGAACTTTACTCTTCATTCGCAGAATACATAAAACATGCAATCAGCTCAAATTTTTCAGTACGACTTGATCCAAGCTTACGTTTCAGCCTCTTCACCTTCTTCAGGGCCTGAA